ATATATATATAGGCTTGTGAATGCAATTAGTTTCGAACGACTAGTCAATTTTATTTTATTCTCTTAAAATAGGAATGACCCAATACCCATATACATAAATTAAAATAATACTAAAAGTGAATTCTTCCCCCACAAAAAATAATAGTTTGAAATGCATGAGATTTTGATAACAAACAAAAAAGGAAAATAAAAGGTATAATTAGAGAGCACTGGAAACAAAAAATGCTATCAACTTGATGAAAATCTTGAAAAATGTAAAAGATAGAAATATGGTGTTTTGAAAGATTCACTTTTAGTATTCGGGTCGGGCTGGGTCATTTCTATTTTAATTGGATTATTTTTTATTGGACTGAAAATAAAATAAAAAACTAAAAAATCGTGGAATAAGAAAATACTACTGAAAAATTATATTTTTTTGGTCACTATAACTTTTGTGTTAGTAATTAAATGTTTTATGAATTTTGTGTGGGAAAACATAGCTATATGACTTTAGTAAAAAAACAATCATAATTATATAATCATTTTTGGAATTTACTCTTTAATTATATATTTCGAGTTTGTGTACCGAAAATAAAGTTAATTTTGATAACTTTGCTCTCCTCAGTGCAAATTCGGATGAATCGAACCTTAAAAAAGTTTTTAAAAAAAAATACCGGGTGAGAAACCATAGGAAAAACAAAGTTATAATTAAGTGATAAACTTAGCTTGGAATAAACAATGATTGAATAGATTGGGGTACATGTCCTTGGACTTTTTCTCCTCCAGGTGACGAATTAGGTGAGATGTGATTGAAATTTGCAACACAATTTAAAAGTAGTATGGCTTGATTTTGATAGAAAGAACTTTTCTAGTCACATCCTTAAATTTGAAATGAGATATGCATGGCTTGACCTGCAAAAGCATTACGTCCACTCTTTTCCTTATAATTCAATTGGGGGAGAAATTCAAAAATAGCCAGATTTACCATTGATCGTTGAAAAATAGCCAAGTTTCAAAAGTCATCGAATTTTAGCTCACTTTAAATCTGAGCAAAAATACTGTTCAAAATCCGGAAAAATACGCCCGCAAATTTTACGGGAGTTCCAGCATAAGTATGCTTGAACTCCCGTAAATTTTACGGGAGTTCCAGGATAACTATGTTGGAACTCCCGCAAATTTTACGGGAGTTCAAGCATAATTATGCTGGAACTCCCGCAAATTTTACAGGAGTTCCAGCAAGTATAATTGTCCAGTATAATATACTGGAGTTTGGAGCACTGGTGCTCCAGTCTCCCGCAAATTTTACAGGAGTTAGCAAAGTATACCGGTCCAGCATAATATGCTGGAGTTCGTACACAAATGCTCCAGAACTCCCGTATATTATACTGGACCGGTCCCTGTTGCAGCAAAATAGTGGCTATTTTTCATTGACTTGATAAACGCGGGCTATTTTTCATTGACCAGTGTGAAAACTGGCTATACCATGATATTTTCCCCCAATCTTTTTCCACACTCCGGCTTTTTCTTTAGCAGTAAGTATTTCGGGGGGAAAAAAAATCAGAAATAGCCAAATTTACAACTGACAATTAATAAATTGTCACTTTTTTAAAGGTAATTATAATGTAGTCATATTTTCATGTAGAGATATAATTTAACAAAAACATCTTTAAAAATCCGAAAAAATTCTCGCAAAATATACTGGAGTTCAAATTTTTTACATATGAGATTCCAGTATAATATGCTGCAATTTCATAATGTGTTGGAGTTCCAACATAATATGCTGGGAAGTTAAAATGGAGGGGCTCCATAATCCAACATATTATGCTGGAATTTTCGTGCTGGAGTTCCAACATAATATGCTTGAAGTGTATACACAGGAGCTCCATAATCCAGCATATTATGCTGCAGCTTTCTGTGTTCAACAAAACGACGGCTATTTTTCAATGATTTTGCAAACGCTGACTATTTTTAGATTACTGGTCCGAAAACTGGCTAAGCCGTGCTATTTTCACCTGTTTTTCACTTCTTTTTTTAACTTAACCTTATCTCTCACTTCAATTAATAGGATCAATAGTGGTTATCTTTTTAATTCCTAATTTTTTTAAATCTGTATGTATATAAATTATAGAAAATCTTAAATCCCCTTTCATAATTTATAATGCCCTACATGATTAATCAGTTGGAGCTTATATGAATGGGATCCTAATACTACTCTATTTTCTGATCTTTTTTTTTTCCCTTTTCTTCTCTCACTATCTAGTGAGCAATTTTAAGAGAAGTATATAATGTAAGTGATGAATAATTTACATGTTGTTTGGTTGTTTCATATACAATGAAGTGAATTGAGTATAATATGATCTTTGCTTTGTTTCCAGAGTTGGAACATATGTGAAATGAGGTGATCCTTTTATTGTTATACGAATCTTTGGTTTTTTTCCAGAGTTGGAACAAATGTGAAATGAGTTGTTATTTGGTTTGAGGGAAATTAGGGAGTAGTTGAATAGTGACTACACTAATTCGTTATTTTGTCTGTTTACATAGTTGGGTTATTAGTTGGATACTTGGATCACTCTTTCGACAATGTTTTTTAATATCACAAGGAGGATACCTCATATTATAATTAATAACATGAGCAAGGTACATTTCTATATCTATATGTAAAACCGTGTCAAAATTCTAGCTAGATGCTCTAAAATGTATACACACAACATTCACCCCCCCCCCCCCCCCCCCCAAGTAATGAAACGATGAGCGGATTTTGGATAAATGATTGAGTGGATAATCACCGAGGTTGTGGTAGGTTGAATAAGATTTCTTGATCCTTAATTAAAGGTTTTGAGTTCGAGTCTTAAAAATGGATAGGAAATGCTTCCCCTTTAATGACCTTACATGACATGAATTTCGATTACTTGGGCCCCGATGCGAGTATGTTGACACCGGGCAGATACCAGAAAAAAGATTGGAAGGGTATGTTGTAGCTGAACTTCCATCTCGAGTCTTGACTTCATTGTTGCACTTAAATCATGAACTTAGACCAGGTTACCGAGCGAGTTGTGCCTAATCGAGATTAGTTACAGCATGTAGTCGACTTGAATTTAGTTGCGGTATCAGAACCAAGCATGACCAGCTTTAACACTGCAAAATTTACTAGACTAGCAAAAATTAATTTAAAACAATTTTTGAAAATAAAAATTAATTGATAACAATTTTTGAAAATATCTTTAAGAAAATTTAAATCGACATGGTTTAGAAAGAATATTTGCAAGAATTCAGAAGAAAGAAGAAAAATTCATGGACAAAGTCCATCAAATGACATACTCCTACTATATATATGTAGCACTACCATTTAACATAAAACTACTTTGATTTTAGGATTGTAGCACTTCATAATCTTCACAAACATTGATCCTGAAACAATTGTCAAGTTGACGTACCTTGATCCATATATAAAGTGTTTTCTTTCAAAGATTGAACAATATACACGAATGCTTTTTCACGTCAAAAACTTTCGAAAAACGTGATTCAGTCCTTTCACCTCTTCCTGCAAGCAAAAAATGTTGTAATCGGTATAGAACATTATTTACAACCAAGGGTTGTGGTAAGGATGAATATAATCCCTCTATCCTTAACCAAAAATCTTATAAGGGATTGGAATTGAGGAATTCCTGGAATGAAGCATTTAGATTAGTCGGAACCCTAATGCAGATAGTGAACACTTGGTGGGAAACCAAAAGAAGACATTATTTCGTTTTCGTGTAAATAGAGGTACTCAGTATCTGAGCAATTACGTTTATCACTGCAGTATGATTTTAGTAATTATTATTTATTTATACCAATTAATATAATGAGCCTAATTAAAGTAACATTGGCCAGAATTTAATTAACTGGTTACGTTCATGAACACATTATCTCGCTTTTCTTCATCATGATCTTCAACCCGTCATCCTTCTACTGCACATGGTGCGACAAGTTATCCTTCCACTGCACATGGCAGGAGCCGCTCGTGCTCTGGGAAACCAGCCTCACGCAGTCCACCCTACTTTTGGAGGAGAGCAGCCCATGGCTTCACTCGGGCCATCTATATTACGGTCATATTTTGTCCATATTAGTTTGCTATTTAAAGGCACAGTTTACTTTGTGAATTCGTCATAAGGTTCATTCAGCTACTTCTTGCTTTGTGACTTTGAATTTTCCATGCCTAAGACCTGGTATACCATATCCCCATATGTTCCATTCATCTGCTACACCACGAGGTCTACATCAATGCCTCATATTGGTTGCATTGTAGAAGCTTCAAACTTTTAAGTTCAAGCCCTTGAGATGCCACCAGATTTTGTTAGTTTGATCCTGCACTTGTTGCTTTTTGATATATTGTTCACTGATCTATGTTTGTCGACTCGAATTCAGTGATGTCCTCAATTCTCCAACCCTGCGGACACCCTATATCTGGTTTATGTAGAGTGACTGCTAAAAGTTTATACTAAGAAATCTTTTGATCCCAACAAAAAGAAACAAAGAACACTTATAAACTGAAACTCTTCATTCAGATAAGATTCAGTACCCAATTCTTCCTTCCCAGTTGCATCTAAATCCTAACTTATATCTTACATGTATTATGAGGAAACAAAACAAAATATTTAGCACAACGGCAAACTGGTCTTGAATAGCATAAAATCTGCTGATGACAAAACATTATTTGCAATCACGTAGAGGTACAAAGAGTCCACCATCTTTATCACTCAACAGAATCAAGTTCAAATAAAAATCCAACTCTACTGACAATGCTCTAGGTTTCGGGGACCTTGGCAATTTTCAGCTCCCTGTCAAAACAATCACCATAGTTAAATTCAGATGATGGAAACATGATTTCAGAACAAAAGGGAAGTGGCTTGACAACCATGACTACCACCATAAAAGATTAAGCCCACTTCACATACGAAAGTGAGGGAAAAAATATTTTTTCTCCCTACAAGCAACTAACAGAAGGAAATTAAAAAAGGGTAGCCTCGTGCACTAAGCTCCTGCTATGCGCGGGGTCCGGGGAAGGGCGGACCACAAGGGTCTACGGTAAGCAACCTTACCCTGCATTTCTGCAAGAGACTGTTTCCACGGCTCGAACCCGTGACCTCCTGGTCACAAGGCAACAACTTTACCAGTTACGCCAAGCCCCAAGGCTCTCCTTCTGAAAAGGAAATTAATCTTTTTTATATCTAAGAACATTTAACGAAGTGTATAGGTGTTGCCCCCAGTGTTTAAAAAAGCGTCTGCTTCCTCGCTTTAAGCAAGAAGCGAGGCGAAGCGTGAAGGGGAACGCTTCAGCAGGGTGAAGCGACTCATGTCAGGAAAAGCGACCGCTTCCCACTAAAAAGCGAGAAGCGGGAAAGAGAGACGACGTCACCAGGTGAGCGAGTGATTATATGTTGTTATATAGTTAATAAGTTATTTCTTTATCAATATTATGTTTTGAAAATTTGTTCTACTGCTACAGTTGAATGGTGGAAGCAATATGGCCATTCCACTCCAGATTTACAAAAGTTTGCCATCAAGGCTCGAAGTCTAACATGTAGCTCATCCGGGTGTGAAAGGAATTGGAGCGTGTTTGAACATGTAAGAACTAAGAAAAAAGATTTAGTATATTGAGATAATTAAATTATATCTCAATTGTCCTAATCTTACTAATTACTTATTATTTGCAGATTCACACCAAAAAGAGGAACAAACTAACCTTGAAGCGTCTCAATGATCTAGTCTTCATTAAGTACAATAGAACATTGAGGCGTCGTTACAATGCTCGCAATATAATTGATCCAATTAGTTTGGACAACATCGATGCTAATGAATGGCTAACTGGAGTCCCGGAAGATCATGCAGATGAAGAAGTATTTGAGTAAACTTATGATTTCACTTGGGTGATGTTGCGGAGGCGCGTGTAATTGGGGAGAGGATTTATTGTTTGAGGGGGAGTACCTCAACTTCAAGTTCACAGAGGAAAGGAAAAGAGGCGCTTCTTTGTCCCTAGTTGATGAAGAAGAAGAAGTTGAAGAAGATGACAAGCAATATAATAATGATAGTGGAATACAAAAATCTGACAATCTTGTCAGAGAATAGGATGCTCATTTTGTGCTTTAATTGATGCTACTATTTAGTTTTTACATTGAAGTATTGAACATAAGCTTACAATTACATGTGTTGTCTATGCAGTATTTATTTTAATTTTTTTTTAAAATTCCGCTTCACTTCAAAAAAGCGAGCGCTTCGCTTCTCGCTTTAAAGCGAAATGGGGGTTGTCGCTTTTTCTCGCTTCACGCTCTTCACAACACTGGTTGCTCCTGTCAGCTGAGCGACATTTCGACATACCACCAAAATGGTTCATTCTTTTCATGTAATTAATTGGTTTTTTAACTTTTCATACTACTAGTTTTAAAAAAGAGCAAGTAGCTCATGAGGTTGACCAACTTCCAAGAGTAAATTTTCCGAGTGTTAGGAAGGTTAGAAGAAATAACGAGCGATGCACCAGGAGTGGTGTGCAAGCTTAATATTTTCGGTTCTTCCGAGGCTTATTCAAGATTGCCCAAATTTTTGTAATTTTCTACAAAATCTCATATTTATTAGCTTAAATGCCTTGAATTTTGAAATTTTAGCAGTGCTTGGCATGAAAGCTCAAGTTTTTTTGGTCTTTCGGGGGCTTATACAAGATTTCCCAGATTATTCCAATTTTCAGCAAAATCTCATAGTTATTACGTCATATGCCTTCAATTTTGAAATATTTAGCAGAGCTGGCAACCCCCGGTTCTATATATGAATAAAATTGTTCCTCTAATGTCTATCCAGGGGGAAAAACAAGGAAAAGGCGAAAAAAGCTTAGTTTTGCTCTAACAAATTTTTTTTTCCTTTTCTGCCAAGTGAAAGGAAAGAATGTTGACTGGCTGAGACATGTTAGAGCAGGCGAATCATTGGGATCCAAGACAAGGGAGGGATAACCATAAGATGGAGCAAAGCAGGAAAGGGCCATCGCCGGGCTCCTAGGAAAGGGGTTTGAAGGATGGAACATATGGGCTCATGTGCTAAAAAATTGTAATATTAGATCACAATGTTGAACGACAGATGCAAATTAGAGATGAGCAAGGCAAAGAAAAAAAGAGAAAGACAAAAGGGAAAATAACTCAAGGAATTCCAACTAACGTCCCTTGAAATATCTCACAATGACAAGGTTGCTGCATGATTGACAGAATATAAAATGCATTGGAATTTTATAAAACTTTACTTCTAATGGCATCATCTTGAAAGAGTTATATGACCCTTTTCATTGTTCTCCTACTTCCACCTCCTCGTGGAAAAACAGAGAATCATTCGCAATGACCTCCTCAAGAAGATGAAAATGAATTGTCTATATAATTGCAAAATTTTATGATGAAAAGGGCAGCCCGGTGCACTAAGCTCCCGCTATGCGCGGGGTCCAGGGAAGTTCCGGACCACAAGGGTCTATCGTACGCAGTCTTACCCTGCATTTCTGCAAGAGGCTGTTTCCACGGCTCGAACCCGTGACCTCCTGGTCACATGGCAGCAACTTTACTAGCTACCCAAGGCTCCCCTTCAAAATTTTATGATAATTATAGTTAAAAGAATCTACAGTTTGCTCAAAAGATTTGGCAGTAAAGTTTTCTTTTCTTAAATCGGTAAAGACTTGGCAGTAAAGTTGTTGCTGGACACATAACCACCTATTTGAATTACTACATAAGACACTCACGGTAATGAAGCAAGATTTGGATGTTATATAGTCAAAATCACTTGCGCCAGCCGCTGCACAAATATAAGAAGCGACGACGCCATTGCTATCATGTGCTTTAACAATAGCAAGCTACTTCAGCATTTTTTTAAATTAAGTAATTGATTCCATTGCTGGCATCAAGAAGATGCGCTACTTCAGCATGTTCTAAATGTCACCAAGCTAAGAGGATACTGGTTTTACATCACAAAAGATCTTGGTTGATTTAATTTTCACAGTAAAACTTACAGCATAAAAACTGGACAAGCTAGATATTCAAAACTTCAAGAATATTATGAAATAGTGACCTTGACTGTTTGCTCTACAGTTGACATAAAAGGTACTCCACAGTCCAGAGGGTAGTAGCTCTTCATGGCAAAAAAGAGAAAGATCCATTCCATTTCTATGCTACCTTTGGTAACTGTGAGATTGCTGGGACTTTCCAGAAGAGAAGGGGCTATCAGGCTTTTTCATGTACAACTTAACTACCTTCAATGAGCTAAACAACCAACAGAGACGTACGAATAAGTTCCATAAAATAAATAGAATTCTCTTTTACTTAACAATCGTCATGCCCCATATATAAAGTCGAACGTCCATAAAACCCAGGAAATTTTTTAATCATTGGATCATCTAGCCACTCATATCTCAATTAGATGAAGCATGATTAGGCAAAATCAAAATAACTGATTGTTCAGTCAAAGTAATGGTGAAAGATATGCATCAGTGGCATGTGTTACTATAATCCCAACTATGCATGATGTCAATTCTCCAAAGAAATAGAGGACATGTTCTACCACCTACCAAGCTCCATCAACTCTCAGAGAAAAGTCTCAATTTCCTAAAGGAAAAGTTGATGGTAAAAGACCTGCATCACTGGCAAAGGATCTGAAGACTCTTACTCCAATCTCAATCATGCACCAGTTAGTTCTCCAAGCAACACTGTGCGTTATATTCTTCCACTTAATCAAACACCATCATGATCTCCTTAACTTTAATTCAATGTAAGCCCAATCTTATACTGGTTGATTGATTCTTGTTCTGTCACATGCCACCCTATTTTAGTTCTAAATGAGTCACACATACACCGACCTTTTTATATGTACTTGGCACAATGGTGTCTAGAAAATTTACACAAATACTACATAGAAAATGGTTTGTTTTTTAAAAGCACTAACTCTTGTCACAGCAACGTTTCGCACAGCACCTGTGTTGATCATTATCAACTCCCTCTTCACTAGGTTGTCCTTACAACTTTACAAGTGATACTCAAACACTAAAGGAGTCAATTAGTACCTCAACCTCAAAGTTGTGGAGGTAGGCAATATGTGCACTCTGCATCTATCCATCCAATCTATTCAGCTACATTTCGTTCCAATACTAGTTACATTTGACTGACGGAACATGAATCCTGTGTATCTAAGCTGCTTTACTCAGACTCATTCCATTTCAATACTAAATAATCTATCTTGCATTACAAACTTAGGGATTCTATCTTAAGGTACTTTGAATCTCACGTTTATCCTTACGGGGGCATACAAGTCTCCAAATAACCCCTTAAATTAGTAAAGGGAAAAAAAAGAATAAGAAAAAAAGAAAGCTCTCTATTCCAATTTATATAACGCTCTTTTATTTTTGGACGTTCCAAGCACAAATAATATTACTCTATGCAACTTTCACAACTTTCAAACTAGCCAATCACTACTTTAATATAAAAAGTTTTCACGGAGTCTCTATGTGGAGGGATTTGTATATCAGTAGAAAATGTCAAGAAGTTCTAGGGTCAGAAAATCTAAAATATTGAACAGTGTAATGAAATTGGTCCAGATGGAGGAAATGGATCGCCTCCAACTATCTAGATTGAGGCTTAGTCATTTTGTGACGGTGGTACCCTAACCAGCTTGTAAGCACCTCGACTATTCCACTGAGTGACTATAAGCTAACTCCCATCAATACAGCTATTCGGCAACTCTGCCCACCAAGGCTTGGAAAGGTGGGAAGAAATCAAGTTTGTTTTTGGGCCACTAGTATAATTTATTAGTCAAGTTAAATTCTTAAACTCTGTACCCAGTCAAATACTGTCAATATTTGGAGCAAATTGAAGAGAAGCTAAACAAAAAGCTCATCCATATATAAGGCAATCAACTTGGACCATCACAGATTTTCACTATAACGATTAATCAGAACAAACTAAAACCCTACAACAATATAAGAAGCAAGTCAAACAGAGAAATCAAATAGGGCAAACTGACCAATTAGAAGACCGAAAAACTAGGCATTGGCAGTCTTAGGAATGAGGGGAATGGGCTGTTGGGCTTGGACCGGGCTTTTTTGCTTCGATCGGGCTTCCTCTTCACGGATCTTCTGCATCTGGAGCATCCGTTCCATAACAAGCTCATACTCACACTTTTCATATGAATGGCGCTCGTCCTCGCACTTCCACGGCAGGTAAAATTCCGACTGTCGACATTTGTTCAAAGGGATTAGAAGGTGTGCGCACTGATCTCGATATGCTAATGGCACTTTGTTTGAAACCATTTCAGCTTGTGTTGCTATCATCTTCTTCGATGAACCTGGCACCTCCATTTGAGTTCGATTTGCTCCCGATTTTCCTCTGTTTCGATCTTTCTAGATTTTGCTCTTTTTGTGTTTTGGGGTGTATTGATGAGCTTAAGGGGCCTTGGGCCAATTTTAGGGAGGGATTTGGGCTTTAGATGTTTGGGGTTGTAATAGTTGGGCTGTTCTTTAGGCCCAAATATTGGGTTGTAATTTGTAAAGGGATTTTTACCTTCCAATACACTATTTGAAACCTTATTACCCTCCTTACTCAAGTTTTAATTTAATTACATGGTCATATACAATTTACCAATTATATACAAATAAGTTTTAAATGAGTATCCCTCTATTTAGGAATTGAATAAGGAATATCAGTTATTTCCTTATCCCATTATACTTGCCCACTCTCTCTCTCTCTGTCTTTGTGTCTCTCTTCGTCTCTCTACTCTCCTTTTCTATTTTTTCCTCAATTTTTCTTCATTTGATGTTCTCTATTTTTTTATGCTTTCTTATTGTATAGAGTTTTAATAAATTCATCAATGGATTTCAGTCGTTTTAACTTAGCATTTTCCTTTCATGTTGCACAATTGGTGTTCAAATTAAAATTGTCAATCAATAAATTTTGAAGGTGTTTGACTCTCCATCATTGACAGCCATTAAAAAGCTTTGAAGCTTTAAAATCGAATTTGGATTTTCAAAAACCATTATTTGTTTGGATTGGGTGTTGTTGCAAACAATTGAAAATATTGTTTGGAGTTTATATCTCAATTTTGAGGGTGTTTTCGTAAAAATTAGACTTGATTTTGGCTGAATTTCATATCGAAACTCGAAGAAGAAGAAGAATACATGACATACAATATACTTACGAAATTGTAGTAAAGTTGTAGTATAACTGTATGTAAATCGTATTCTGTTGTGTGCGTGTGTGTGTGTATATATATATATATATATATATATGTGTGAATATTACCATTTCAAAACCACATTAACTCATACACCTAAGAGCACCCAAATACCAGTCTCGCACAACTGACAGCAGTAGATCTCGCACTCTATTTACAAATATACTCAATGAAATCTCTACATCTCCTAGCTACTCCCCCCCCCCCCCCCCCCCCCTTATACATTTGGATCCTTTCTATAACTATGTTCTTTATCTGGTGTATTACAAAATATCTACTAACTTTCTATTTTCCAAAGAAAAACATGTTCCTGCTCTGCCAGATACTATATATCACAGCACTTATTATTGCAGCATCCACTTCCTTCATGAATTTGTTCCATTTCCTGCGCTTGATCTTCATCAAAGTACCTAGGAGATCATCATGCTTTTTAATGTGCATTCCTGTCCATTCCTTCACTTCTTCACATAGCCTTTCTGCCCATGTACACTGCAATAACAAATGTTGCATATCTTCCAGACTATTCAGCTCACAAAGTACACATGTTGCGTCTGCATAGTGAATTCCCATTCTGATGATTGTGTCTTTTATTAGTAGTTTCTTTTGCACTGCCAGAATAGTATGATTCTGTGCTTGGGCTGCATAATTCTGCTCCATATCAAATATGCAATATTCCACCTTAGCCTTTCTACTACTAGTTGGTTGTACCCCATTGAGATTGAGTACCTTCCATTACTAGTAAGACAGTATCTACCATTCATGTACCAGCCTTGCATGTGTTGCTTTATACATGTAATTTCCTCCAATACCAACTACTATCTTGTGTTGGTTGGTGTGTCCAAAAATCACCACTTGCTTTCATGTAAATGCTATGTATCCACTTCACCCATAGTATTTCCTTCTTGCTAATCAATAATCATATTAACTTTCCAATAGAAGCTATATTCCACAATTTGCAGTTTTTAATATTTAGCCCACCTTGATTCTTAGGTCGACATACTCCCTCCCATGCTACTAAAGGTATCATTCTCTTCTCTGTAGTGCTCCCCCATAAGAAGTTTCTGCATTTCTTATCTACTTCCTTCAGTATACTTTGTGGTAGAATAAACACTGCCCCCCCCCCCCCCGAAAAAAAAAAAAATTGTGTAATGAGAATAGTATAGACACTACCACCTGTAGCCTCCCTCCATAAGAAAGGTGCCTATTCGATATTGCATTTAACTTCTTAGTGATCTTCACACACAATTGATGGCAATCCATTTTACTCCATCTCTTTGGTGATAGTGGGAGGCCTAAGTATCTCATAGGAAATGTGCCACTTGAGCAACATGTGATGTCTAGTAATTTTTGTTTTGACTCAGCATCCACCCTTGCAATATAGATACTTGACTTATCTGTATTTGCCTCTAGGCCTGTAGCCTCTGAGTAATGTTTAAGTGCTTCCATTATTCTCCTGCTTCATTCCCTTTGCAAAACAGCATTAGATCATCTGCAAATGTCAAGTGAGTGAATTCTTGTTCCTTGCACATTGGGTGGTATCTAAAATCTGGCAATTGGATCATCTTCTTTAGAATCCTAGATAAGTATTTCATCACCATAACAAAGAGTAGTGGGGACATTGGATTCCCTTTCTTTAAACCCCTCTTCCCCCCAAAATAACCATACCCCTCCCCATTAACCTTCACTGAGAATTTTGTTGTTGTTACACATGCCATGATCAGCTGAATGAACTTAGGAGGAAATCCATAGCCCTTCAACATTTCTTCAATAAACTCCCATGTACCATATCACACGCCTTCCTTAAATCAATCTTCATTAGACATTTGGGAGTAGTTTTCCTATTGTAGTGTCTTAGTAAATCACTACACATAAGAACATTATGAACTAATGACCTCCCCTTCACAAATGCTGCTTGATTTTCACTTACTATTGTAGGAAGCACCTCAGTAAGCCTGTTACACAATACCTTTGATATACACTTGTGAATTACATTGCAACAAGATATAGGTCGAAATTGACTAGCTTCTGTTGGATTAGGCACCTTGAGGATCAGAGTTATAATAGTTGCATTAAGTTGATTGAGCATTTGTCCATTCCTGAAGGACTCCATAACTGCCTCAGTGATATCATTGCCAACCACTCTCCATGAATCCTTGAAGAATCATGCTCCATACCCATCAGGTCCGGGACTCTTATTAACATTGATACTGAACATTGCTCTATTTACCTCCTGTGCAGTTACCCATTTTATCAGATCTAATTGTTGTTGAACAGATAATACATGGCCTTGATTTAGGAACCCCTGTCATGCCTTTCTCCTAGCTACTCCATTAGCAACTAACATCTTCTTATAATAGTTCACAAATACATCAATTATCTTCTCAGTTTCTGTTTGCAATTGTTTCCCCTCATCATTAATTTGAGTCACTGATTGTATTAATCTTCTTTGTTTAATAATGGAAAAGAAATACTTGGTATTATCATCTCCAAGTCTGATCCATGTGGCCTTGCTTCTCTGCATCATGAAATTTTCTGTCATAATTGATGATTCCCTAAACTTATCCCTTGCATCTTTCTACTTTTGTTGTAGCTCCTGATCTAGTGGTGTCTCCTGGAGCATTGCTTGTAGTTTCTGCACTTCCTCCCTATATTTGTTTGCTTCATTTATGATATTACTGAAGTTCTTCTTGTGCAGTGTTCTAAGTTTCTTCTTCAAAGCCTTCAATTTCTTTACTACTTGATACATCATACACCCCTCTACTTGCATTGCTCATCCCTTTTCAACCATGTGTATAAAATCATAGTGTTTACTCCACGTATTACAGTACCTAAAAGCTTTTCCCTTCCTTGTATGAGTCTTAATCATCTCCACCACCAATGGACATTGATCACTCATCCCTTTCTGAAAGAGTATAAGTTTTACATTGCTCCATTGTATCTATCCATTCCCCATTGACAAATACCCAATCTATTTTTGAGCATATTCTATTTGTCCCCTGCTTATAATTCCATGAGTACACATACCCATTATTTAGTAACTCCATAAGTATGCATTTATCAATACACTCCTGAAATTCCACCACCTCACTTAGTGCTATTGGATTCCCTCCAAGTCTGTTCTCCTGCTGCAATACAGCATTGAAGTCCCCCATGATTATTCATGGAATCTGGCAACCCATGCTCATCTGGTGTACATAGTCCCATAATGCTTTCCTCTCATCTCTGAGATTATGTGCATACACAAATGTGACCATGAATACGACTTGCATAGGAATGTACTTTACTTGACAAGTTACTGCTTGTTCAATTTCATTTATTATTCTCACCTCATACCATTCTTGTTTCCACACTAACACCACTTTACCATTATAGTGTGATATATGAGTACTATAGCATTGTCACCCTACAAACATAGTATTAATAACACTCTCCACCTTATTCCTTTTTAATCTTATTTCTGGTAACCCAACTAATCCAACATTCTGGTCATTGCAGAAAGGATTTTACCTCTTTCTGCTTATTGAGACCATTAAGGCCTCTTGTATTCTAACTCATTAGCTTAACCATCCCCCATAGGAAAAATGGTACCACCCCTCCTTCCTTCCCTTCATTAGTAGCATTTGTTCCTGCCTTATCCTTCCCCATGTTCTGAAAAGTATTTGCCACAGGCACCACTGAATGTGTTTGCTTAATCGCATTATTATGTTTATGTGATTGGACCCATCCCTGTTGCCCTCTCCTATGATTCTTCCTTTGCCATCTACCCTGCATATCTTCCCTCTCCATTTCTTTAACTCCCTTACCTTCTTGTACTCTCACTATACTCTCCCCTTCTCAACATTCTGTTGTGCTACCATTTCTGGTTGTTTGCTTCCCTCTTGTTCTTTCCCCTCCATTGTAGTATTATTTTTCTACAAATATCCTCTGTATGCCCATATTTATTGCAACTAGAGCATATAGAAGACTTCCATTCATATGTTACTCTTTGTTCAATCATATTGCCTTTCTTATTTTTGAAGTAAATTATTTCTGAGAAGGATGGCTGGTTTGAAACTCTTTCAATGCACGTTAGCGTAAACGTACGCCGCCGTGGGCAGGAGACCAAAAACCACGATTCCAACGGTGAATTTGGGTGCGACGAGTGCAGGAAAGGGTGGGAACTAGGGCGGTGGTGTGAGCACGTGATTTTTGCCCTATATGAATTACTCC